TTTTTTTGGGCCACCCTGTATAAATGAAAATTGCTTCAGAAAATGCGCAACTAAAAATATAATTCGACGGGTCTGAGCGATTTTTCAAATAACGAACATCTGATTTTTAAATAAATATACTCCATACTTTTGCCGCTCACTGTATATTTTAAGTTTAACATAACTAGTGAAATCTGTATTAAAATTAATACTGTAATCAGCTTGATTAAAACATTTACAAAAATTTTTGAGTATGTAACTATGTACTAAATAATTCACAGAAATAACTATTTTCTACTATTTTCTAAAGTCATTTGCCTAAGTCAAGTTTAATTATCAAAAGATAAAAGTAAGAAAAATGTCTACGAATAGAACAATTAGGTAAAAAAATAATTTGAGAAAAAATGATTAGACTGCTGATATATGAGAACTTTATAAAAGTTTGCTAAATATTTTATTTAAACTATTGTTTAGCTCTTTCAAGTCAATCAAATAACAATATCAATAAATCAGCATCACACCAGTATTAGTATAAAATTTTATTTTTACCACTTCAACAATGACAACTACAACAACGACAACAATATGTTTGTCGTTTATTTTATATAGTCATGATGAAAGTTGTAAAGTATAATTTTGGTAAGGTCTAAAATCCAACGTAACTTAACTTGCTTAACTCCAACGCTTGCTTAACTTAATTTTGAGCCTATTCATCTCTACGATTACCATGTCTTCGGTGAAAATTGTTAATCTGAAGAAATTTGGTATCGGGATAAAACCTTTTGCCCTGTACCGATTTTTCACTATCTTCAGCGTAACGTCCTTATGTTTTCTCACGTTCTCCATCGTGTTGTCAATTCCCGTGTTGTTCATTAATTTAGAGACATTTTTTTCAACTGTGTCAGTTGCCTCTTTATGTAATTCCGTATTTAAATTGATATATATTTGTAGCCTAACCAATTAGTTGAATTTTAAAAATTTGTGGACTTCACTCCATAAATCGATTCGGTTGTCTGTAATGGATAATGTAACCTTTTTTCATAAAAAGTGTGGACAATAATTCTGGTTGATTACCGATGGGAGAACCATTTATTCCAGACATGGGGTAAATTTAAAGTATTCATGAAGTTCAGATTTGAACTCAATGTTGTTTACGACACGATACTTATTAGTCCAACCAAATTACACTTAGAGAAAAAAAAATTGTTACCTGGACTTTTATAAGTGGAAATGGTAAAGGGGCTTATAATAAACGTAAAAAAAATAAATGCGTGAGCAGGGGCGGCGGAGGGTTGATTTGGGGGGTTGAAGAGGGGTGAAAAATGGTATCATTGAGATTTCTGGCGAAAGTTGATGTCAAACAAAAAAGTATCCAATACAAAAGTTATAGATCATGAAAAAATCTACAACTCTTGTAGAGGGCACTTTTGAAGATAACCTCAAAATTTCCGAGAAAAATGCGAAAAACAGGTTTTTTTCTTTTTTTTCGTTTTTTATTTCTCATTTCCGCAAAAATAATTTAATTTTGACGAAACTTGGTGAAAGTATACTTTCCTGTGTCTTAAATAACCACAATTTTTTTTAGATAAAAAAATCAAGAAGTTTCCGAGATATTCATATTTTCCGGTCTGAAACACTTTTTTTTCAAAGAAAAATTCTACTTAAAAAAATCATCGTACAGAGTTCTGCCGGTAATCATTTTTTTCGTTTTGACATATACTTTTTGGTGAAATAAAAAAAATTGGAATCGCAGTTCAAAAACATGCTCAAAAATGCAAAAAAGAAAAATGACTCTTGCAGAAATGAGTTTTTCAGTAATTATTGTTGATAGTTTGTTTAAATTTAAAGAAAATTCAAAAACTGATTACACCATTCGATTGTACGGAAAAAATACAAAAGAAACTGTGTCTCATTGTTTGACCCGAAATTTTATTTTTGTACAGTATTGCTATAAACATAATATTTTTTTTCGTAGGATCGATTAATGTACTTATTTTTTTTAACTTTGAATTGAATTCATAGATGTATAAGCGACTCTTTAATTAAATTATGTAAAATTCAGATTTTTGCTTTCAAAATTTAAAAAATATTTACAAAGGATATTTACAGTTAATAATACTAGGCGAATCTTGGTCTTTTTGGCAGCCTTTTAACTTGAACTTCATCGTCCGATCCTTCATTAGAACCCAGTCTTCCTGTTCTTCAAACGTTTCTTTGATATCACTTAATTCTTCGTTTAATTGATCTTCCGGGTTCAAGCAAAGACTGGGCTTCTCAATTTCATGTGAAATGTCTTCGGAATCACTGAAATTTTCCGAAATTTTGTCAACGTTCAAACAATTGTCCGAACCATGACATTTTGTACATAAATCTGTACATCGCACTCCATGTTTTCGACACCCGCATCTATTACCGTTGGTAAAACCTTTTTATGAGACTAATGCAGAATCAAAAGTCATTGTTCGAAATGGTTGTAAATTAATTTCGTCTATTTACAAATGCACAAATGATAAATTATCTCTGGATGATTTGAGATTTCAGCAATACAAAGTATTAACTGCAAAGTCTACTTTTAAATTAGAAAAATTACCACCAACTGTCGGAGCAGCTACACAACACTCCTATAGAGCATACTTTCAGCTTCAGACGTGGCTTGGAAACAAAATAACTGCAACCAAGTGGGGCTGGAAAGAAGTAATTGCGAATAATTCCAAAATACTCATGCCTCGCTTTACAGAAGTTTCAGTCGTTCCTGAAGATTTAATAAAAACAATCTCTTGCAGCTGCGAAACCAGTTGTGACGGTAATAGATGCGGGTGTCGAAAACATGGACTGCGATGTACAGATTTATGTACAAAATGTCATGGTTCGGACAATTGTTTGAACCTTGACAAAATTTCAGAAAATTTCAGTGATTCCGAAGACATTTCAAATGAAATCGAGCAGCCCAGTCTTTGCTTGAACCCGGAAGATCAATTAACCGAAGAATTAAGTGATATCGAAGAAACGTTTGAAGATCAGGAAGAAACCCAGTTTAATGAAGGATAGGACGATGAAGATCAATTTAAAAAGTTGCCAAAAAGACCAAGATTCGCCTAGTATTATTAACTGTAAATATCCTTTGTAAATATTTTTTAAATTTTGAAAGCAAAAATCTGAATTTTACATAATTTAATTAAAGAGTCGCTTATACATCTATGAATTCAATTCAAAGTTAAAAAAAATAAGTACATTAATCGATCCTACGAAAAAAAATATTATGTTTATAGCAATACTGTACAAAAATAAAATTTCGGGTCAAACAATGAGACACAGTTTCTTTTGTATTTTTTCCGTACAATCGAATGGTGTAATCAGTTTTTGAATTTTCTTTAAATTTAAACAAACTATCAACAATAATTACTGAAAAACTCATTTCTGCAAGAGCCATTTTTCTTTTTTGCATTTTTGAGCATGTTTTTGAAGTGCGATTCCAATTTTTTTTATTTCACAAAAAAGTATATGTCAAAACGAAAAAAATGATTACCGGCAGAACTCTGTACGATGATTTTTTTAAGTAGAATTTTTCTTTGAAAAAAAAGTGTTTCCGACCGGAAAATATGAATATCTCGGAAACTTCTTGATTTTTTTATCTAAAAAAAATTGTGGTTATTTAAGACACAGCAAAGTATACTTTCACCAAGTTTCGTCAAAATTAAATTATTTTTGCGGAAATGAGAAATAAAAAACGAAAAAAAAGGAAAAAACCTGTTTTTCGCATTTTTCTCGGAAATTTTGAGGTTATCTTCAAAAGTGCCCTCTACAAGAGTTGTAGATTTTTTCATGATCTATAACTTTTGTATTGGATACTTTTTTGTTTGACATCAACTTTCGCCAGAAATCTCAATGATACCATTTTTCACCCCTTTTCAACCCCCCAAATCAACCCTCCGCCGCCCCTGCTCACGCATTTATTTTTTTTACGTTTATTATAAGCCCCTTTACCATTTCCACTTATAAAAGTCCAGGTAACAATTTTTTTTTTTTTCTCCTATAAATGAGTTATTTCGATCGGTCTATATTGGGTTCGTCTGTGTTGTATTTTCTTTTCAGTAACTAAAATTCTGTCAATGTCCGTCAGTAATTCTAATGTATTCGTAATTTTCATTACGGCATCGAAAACCAGACCCATTGAAGTGTACTAATGTAGGGGATCCACGTCAAAAGTATTTAAACAATTTTCCAGAAAATTTTCAAAAATATGTCTACAAAAAGTAAAACGTCTCTATGTAAGTTCGAATTTTCCACCAAATTGTCATTATTAAAATTTATCTTCCAGATATTAGTCGCGTGTTTTTAATCACTGTCGGACTAATCTCGTCCGTTAATTTGTTGTAAAAATCATATTTTGTCGGTAAAGTCGTCTTTGAACTTTTCGCAAACAATTTAAATTATCATAAAAAAAAAACTTGATTGCAATGTGATTTGTGATGCATTTCTACTCATCGTCGAGATAAGAAGCCAATTTCTCGATTTTATCAGCAATGAAATGGAATGATTTAATAAATATTAACTATTATTATTTCACATAATTCAATTATAAAACTGCATTTTAAATATAAATACCTCTACTAACAGCAAAAACTGATCACTGACGGCATTAATAAAAGATTGTTGAATTTCAAGCAAACGTTGATGATAACGTTAGCATATTTGTATCTACTTAAGTTATAAACTTTCATTCGGGGCGATTTATGTATTTTGTAAGTAATTTGCTATAAGTATTGATCTGAACCTAATTTTCACATGCATGCACCCAGTTTTCCCCTCTGATGTCGGCATCCCGCTGCCTCCTCCAACAACTTTTTGAGCATGTAACTTGGTGTCAACTCCTAATGGACAGGTGGCCAAAGTAAAGTCATTCTATCACTGCCATACTACTGACATGGATTTAAGATAACCCCTATATGTATTTGAACACATGTACAATATTACTAATATTATTGTTCTTATTATTTTATAGTTTATAATTTGTTTTCTAGGGAATAACTTATTTATCCAACAATGAACAAGAAGCTGAAATATTATCCTCAAGTATAATGTCATACCACACGGTAACAAAAACTTCGAAAGACTACATTGAAGCTCTAAAATATGCCCGCTATATAGCTGATAATTTGACTAAAACTATTGATGTCCCTGGAGTGGAAATATTTCCGTACAGGTAAATGATTAAGTAGTTGAACAAGGACAGCGATAGCTTAGTTTATTCTGTCTTAAACTTAAATTACTGTCACTGCAAATTCGAAAAAACTACCCTACAATCATAAATGATAGTAATTTCATCGACATTAAGGAAAAAATGTTTACAAAATGAAAGTTGATCAAAAAAGTCACCTAATATTACTGTTTTTAATTATTTTAACTCTTCCAAAGAGTATTGTTTTATACTGTGCTCTCTCTATACAGGCTGTTACAAATTTGTTTCTCACTATAGGGATCTCGGAAACGGTAAGAGATACAAACTAGCTTAAATGGGGGCAAAGTTGCGTAATCAGGGTTAATGACTAATTTTCGAAAAATTTGAAAAAAAAACGAAATTTTGGAAATCCGTTTTTGTTTCATTTCAGCCTTGTTTGAGGTGATATTGAAAAAAGAACACTTTCTCATGGCCACTTTTTGCCCTCTATCGAATGGAATGATCAATTTTTATATGTAACGTTTCGTCTCTCCAGGACCATCGTCAACTTCATTTTTTTAAATTCGACACTAGAAATTTTATTACATTTTTTTGCAAGCCTTCATGTCCCTCAATACTGTACTGCCTCAGCCCAAACTAGAATCAGACGTTTTGTCTCGAAAAATTCATCTTCAGTGTATTCGTTTCAAATTTATCTAAATTTTTTATTTAGACTTCTTTGTTTATAGAATTATCGTACACTGTAAGTGTCGTTAGACCCTGTGAAATCCATCTAGTTATTTAAACTATTACCAGCACGCATTAAAATAAAAATTTATTAGAGTTTTATTCCCGTGTACATAGTTATTTCTAGGCTTCTTGAGTGCTCAAAATTCAAACAAATTTCGATATATTTTTTTCAGGATATTCATACAAATACATCTGACATGCTCTGTCACAGTTGCGGTTACAGATATAATATATTCCGATAATATTACGCTGATCTTCATTTTCAACCTTTGCCAAACCGAAAATGTTTTTGAACATTTACTGAAATTTTTTAACGATTGGCGTTTTGGTTGTTCATATGCATTTTTAAGAATTGATTTGTCATAATAAAATTAAAATTGTAATAATGTTTTAATTTTATTATGACAACAACTTATTGAGTTATGTATTATGTATTGAGTTATGATCAAGTGATGGTAATAGTTAATAATAATAAATGTTTTATTGTCACGCGTGGTGGTAATAGTTTAAATAACTAGATGGACAAGGTCCAACGACACTTACAGTGTACGATAATTCAATAAACAAAGAAATCTAAATAAAAAATTTATATAAATTTGGAACGAATACACTGAAGATGAATTTTTCGAGACAAAACGTCTGAATCTATTTCGGGCTGACAGTATTGGGAATCATGAAGGCTTGCAAAAAATGTAATAAAATATACAGGGTCGTATTTAAAAAAATTAAGTTGATAATGGCCCTGGAGAGACGAAACGTTATATATAAAAATTGATTATGCCATTCGATAGAGGGCAAAAAGTGGCCATGAGAAATTGTTCTTCGTTTTTCAATATCACCTCAGACAAAGCTAAAATGAAACAAAATCGGATTTACAAAATTTCGTTCTTTTTTCAAATATTTCGAAAACTAATCATATTACCCTTGATTTTTTAGAGGCATAATATTGGTCCCCTGATTACGCAACTTTGCCCCCATTTAAGCTACTTCGTACCTCTTACCGTTTCCGAGATCCCTGTAGTGAGAAGCGAATTTATAACAGCCTGTATAGAGGAATGTTAGAAGTTCCTTAAAAATCTTAGTGTAGAACTCGGTGTAGAACATGTAATGTAATTAATAGTTTTTTGAAAAAATAAAAATGAAAAGTCGTCTTTAAAATAAATATGTATGATTTTTGAATACAAAACTTGTTGAAAACCGTTGAATTCACTGTATTTACATCTAACGTAATATGTGTATTCTAAACAGGAGATCAACTAGGCAATGTTATCGGTGTTACGCAGAACTCTGATATTCTAAAAATTTATATGAAATAGGGAAAAAGTTAATTAAATAAGCATTTTTAATAAGCTTTAAATGATACATCATCTTTTCAAGGCAGACTAGATGCCGTAAGTGGACTTAGCAACGTTTGTCAATTACCAGTCACTGATTTTGAACAACCAAAGCTTCTCGAATCATATCAGGGATGAAACATCCATCACTAGTTAGCCACAATCATCACCATTGAATTTCTGCTAGCGCTCTACCGTTCAACTTGTAGCATTCAAACAGTTAACATTCCAAAGTCCAACCATTACTTCTTCTTGAAGGTTTTGATGACAATCACCATGGTAAACATCGAAGAGAACCTTCATTTGATCTTATCATGGTAAAGCGAAAAAACTGTCTACTACGACTATAAAATTCTTCCCCCTCGTAGTTTCACCAAAGTCCATGTGGATTCGAAATCATAGCTTTTTTGTATCCGGCCAAGGATGAAGAGGCTCCTTGATAGGACTGGATGTAATTGAAACACTATTGTTGCAGAGTTTACCTATTATTTCGATGTCCTTACACATTCCAAGTCAGAAAAAAATGAAATTAAGCTTTTCATTCAACGAATTCTAGAATAATCACGGTGTAGACGTTTAAGGATGTAAATGTGAATAGCATATTCACCAACAAACAAAAAGTTATTATTGATTGTAATAGACTGCTTTTGATATGACATCAGCGTGCGGTCCATTTCGTTCTCATTGTGTCATGCATTCTTTCTTGACTCGATTTAATAGCTTCTTATGTGTTGGACAACATTTATTAAAATATATTTTTTATCTTTTCATTTTCCTTTTTTTGCTTAACCTTCAAATAGCCATCCAGTCATAAACATAAATGTGCCAGAAGACATGGCATTCTCAGAACGACTGCTATGATCCTATGATCACTACATTTCTGAAGTGAAGAGACCAAGTGAAAGCAGTATACTTCGTAGTATAAATTTGACAAATATACAAATCGTTTTGAGCTGCTTTCTCGTATAATTAACAAATGCGCCGATAGATGTGTACTTGCTAAATGACCAGTCCAACAAATAATGTCTACAGTTTGAAGGAAAATATAACTTATATAATTTTTCATAAATATCATTTTTCCTAAAATATTCGCCCGGAATATATTTTGTTAGTATATTAGAAAAGATAGACCCTCTACAGCATTTATTTAGTCAAAACGTGATCCTTACCTACATTTTTTATGTTTCAGTGTGTTTTATGTATATTACGAACAATATTTGACAATATGGATGAATACGATAGAATCTTTGGGTTATTCTTTGGCTTTAGTTTTGGTGATAACATTTATTGTTACTGGATTTAATATTTTTTCATCATTAATTATAACGGTAACTGTATTCATGGTTGTACTACATTTAATGGGGATGATGTGGATATGGAATATCACCTTAAATGCAGTCTCTTTAGTAAACTTAGTTATGGTAAGTGAACGTCATGTGTTACTATTGATGACTAATAAAAATGCATATTATATTGCACATAACATATAGAGCAGTTTTATTGTATTTATTTACTTGTGTATTCGAAAAGGAAGTAAATTTAATTGCAGAAATGTTTTTTGTCAATTTTTGTATACTAGATATTGTTTTGGTTTGATCTGAGGAAGATTTGGTTCAATATTTTACACTTAATTATTTCTTACCTTGTATAATTATAATATAATAATTATAATTGTCTGAAACTATTTATATCAGTGACATGGACTTCTAGGGACTTTGGTTCTATTTAAATAAAACAATCATTTTTTCATGGATGTTGGCTCTTGATCAATGAGCACTGTCATCATTTTATAGACCGACACAACCAGTTTGAGTTTTGTCTCAGGTAGAACTGTGCCATGGTAGAAAGAATAAGACGAATTACATATGCAAAGGATGTTTTATACATAATATAAAAATAATATAAAATCTGAAATTACAATTAAAAAGAATTATAATGGCAGAATACCAGGAAAGTTCCTACCTGAACTTTTACTAAGAAGTTCACTATTACTGTTATCACTGAGATTGAGATTTCTATTATTCTACTGAAACTATTGAAAAAAAGTTCATTGTAAATGATGCTAAATTAAGTTAACATTCCTGTTTGAAACAATCTTTTACATAACAGCCCAAATTAATTCGATGGGGCTTAAATCTGAGTAGTACAGCAGAAGCCGTAAAGCGCCATGTCCGTGATGATTTAAAATTTTGATTATCACAAAAATTTTATATGCCCGTTTATTTATTTTAATTAAATTGTACAAGGCATGTAAAGTATGCTTCGATGTGTTTCATTTCCGCTTTACTCAAACCCATATTAGGACTTCTTCAATTTGAGCATTGTTGTAAGGAGACTAGCATACTTCTTGGCTCTAAATAGGGAATAACAATCACTTTTTATAATTTTCAATGTTCATGTCATTATGATAGTAACCATTCTTACAGTTGTAAGTGTTTACTGGGTTCGAATCCATTATTATTTGCAGCATTCAATATAATGTCTTTGATCTTTTGAAATTGGCCGACATAAACCATTATTTGTGCTTTCAATCCATCCACTATTATGCCTATGAGAAGAATGAATATGTTTCGTCTCATGAAAATAAAAGGCTTGTTTTTTTCTCTATAATGTTTCATGCTTCTTAACAAATAAAGTCGCTACAGATGAATTTCGGGTTTCTTCATAAGTTTTCTGTTTCTCCATAAGTTTTAACCCGTCGAAATTTTATTTTTCTTGGGAAGTCTTTTGATGATTTCTCGAATAATTATTAAGTATAAATTTTTGGTGAATCCTTTTAGTGATGGGCGTCATCTTCTCGGATATCCGTATATATGTTGAAAAAGAGCCATATCCAAGTTATCCGAGCCAGACTTGGGGGCTGACTTTTCCCTTTTCTTAATTGGTGTTAAAAAGCTTGATTTTTCAGATTTTTCACCATTCGTAACAGCATTCATTTCCTGAGCAATGTTTTGAACGCTTCTCTTGCTTATTTCTTAAGTTCCTGAACAGAACGATTTGGATCAGATTCACACTGCATACAATATATCACATTTGCTATCACTCTTTGTGACTGCCTTGTTAATTTTTTGTCACTTTCGAAACAAATCCTTTTAAAAGTCGTTTTTGAAATTTTTATATAGCCCTGAGTACACGATCTTATTCCCTCGAACGTAGATGTATAAATACACTTCTGAAGTGTTTCCCTTAACGTTTCCACTGAGCATTTGAAGGCGGAGCTAACTCAGACGCAAACTTATTATGACATATGATGTCATTGGATTCACAATAAGAGGTGATATTTACCTAATTGTTTTATTATACAACGAAAATGAAAAAATCTTTCTTAATTTTTTTAATATAATTTATAATTAATGTCCATTGTGACGCATTTTGATTCTTTGTATTGATGTTAAAAATTTTTTAATTAGGGTGAATATTGGTAAAAATAAATATAGCCTTCGTTTAACGAAAGATGTTAATGGCATTTAAAAATGCTTTTCGCCATTTATTCAAGCATTAGAATGTCTCATTTTTGCTCGCGCATAAATCTTAAATCAAATAATACACGTTAATTTAAAGGTTTTATTAATACTTGAACACATATTTACAACCTCGTCTCTGAGTGCCTCTACCTACCATTGATTCTACAAGGAAGATACAATTTGTCGATATAGTAATGCCTTTAGTAGGACCCCTTAAGCTTTTTTTGTCTAAATTGGATATCTACTTTCCCTTATACCCTCCTCTCAATAAAAATTTGGTTTCTCTTCATATGGATAGGTACTGAGTTTAAAGCAATAATTAAAAATTAAATACCTACACAAAAGTGGTTATAAGGCTTTCATAGCCCTTGCTGATATTTAAAGTATGATGGTTTTTCGGATTTGATGTTATGCCTGGTCGGAGTCAGTTACAGAATTACATTCCTCTTCCTTAGCCTTACCTTGAAACCTTTGACCTGCTCTTGTTGTTCTCGGGCTAGAGGCTGTGGAGGCAGACTCGCTATAAGAACCCTTAGGCTCTCCCTAATGTTAATTTCGGCTCTTATTGGTCAGTTCTTCAGGCAATGGTGATCCTCTGGGACGTTCTGTAATGGCCTCTGCAACTGGTCACATCCAATGTTTCCAGCATCTTCAGTGGTGACTGCAAATGCAAAGTATGAAGGCAGGCCTAAGAGTTTTAATAGTGAGTAGTGAGTCCGCTCTCACAGAGCCTAGCCCGGGAACAAAAACAGCAGGTTAAAGATTCCTAGGTAAGGCTAAGGAAGTGAAAGGTGAAGCAGGAATTTAAAAATTTTTAAATGGTTTTGTGAACACAGAAAAAAGTTTGAGCAAATTATCCATGCAAATAAATTAAGAAACAGGAATAGTAATATAAATTTTTAAGAATTGTGATTTTTGCGCAATTTTTTCATTGTCTCACTTTTATCTCGACTGACCCTAAATATAAATATAAAATGATGGTAAAATCCTTGATCAAGAGTGAAAAGCATCCATGAAAAATGATTGTTTGTTTATAACGAGCGTTCAAATAAAAACGTGGTCGAAGTCGGCTCTGACACATTGGACGTAGGGAGTAGCTTATAGCGACCAACTTAACCTCATTTCTCAACGAGCTGTATAGCAGCTGTCAGTTTCAATAACGTTAATGACTATATAACTTTATTTTAAAGAATAATCGTGATAACAATAACAAACAATTAAAGGAGCTGCGGAAAGTGTCCCCCTCCTTGTTATAACAATAAATTAAAGCAGCTGCTGAAAGTGTCCCCCTCCTTGTTCCAAGCACTTTTCACACCTGTTCCTCAAAGAATTAAAGACATTTTCTAAGATGCTCGGGGTATTGTTAATTTCACGAATCTTGTCTATAAGTCGAGCCTGCAGATGGTTTAAATCAGGAATAGGCAGTTCAAAAATAGTGTTTTTAAGGTAAGGCCACAAAAAGAAATCACACGGCGTAATATCACATGACCTCGGTGGAAATTCATGTTCAGCATTGAGACTTATTAGTCGATTTTGGAAAACTTCCCTCAACATATTCATCGTCTCGCCTGCCGTATGTGCCCTTGCGCCATCTTGTTGAAAGTAAAAGTTTGTAATTTCGTTTTCTTCCAGCTGGTTAACAAAAGGAGCGATAATTTCTTCTCTATACCTTTGCGCAGTAAGAGTACCATTAAAAAAAATAGGTCCATAAATCCTCCTTCGATTGAGAGCACACCAAACTCCAATTTTTTGAGCGTGTAGAGGGCCCTCGACAAAAAAGTTATCTGGTTTTTCAGAAGACCACATTCTCATATTCTGTGAGTTTACGTAACCACTTAAATGAAACCAGGCTTCATCAGAAAAAAAGGTGATATTATGAAGTTCACCGTAGTTGTTTAAAAACCATTCACAAAATACAGCCCGTCGCGGAAAATCAACTTCATGAAGTTCTTGCTGACAAGTTAAACGATAGGAGAACAAACGCAAATCTTTTTTTAACACTGTGTGGCAGGTACCGACTGATACTCCCACCATTTGTGATAAAACACGTACAGAAGTTCTTGGCGCATTTTCCATTATTTGTTGGACATTTTCTTTTAATTCTTCAGTCCGCTTTTTAGGTCGGCCGCTTCCTTCTTTTCTTGTTACACTGCCCGTTTCACGAAAAACATTAACACAACGCTGAACTGCACTTTGAAAAATTTTGTACTCAACAACGCCGGGAAATTGATTTTGAAATTCTATGAAACATTCCTCAATAGAATACTTCCATATTCCATCAATCTTGCGTCCATTTCTAAAGTAGGACTCTATGATAAACACTTTTTGTTCTTGAGAAAACACCATTTTAAACGCTTTTTAAAACGAAAATATTCAAATTGATAGCGGCGATATAGCGCTTTGACAGATGACGTTTAAGTTCATTTGCTATACGCTACGCCCTACGTCCAAATTTTCAGAACCAACTTGACCACGTTTTTATTTGAACGCTCGTTATATTTTTTGTATTTATAAAGAACTAGGAGCATCGAGTCTTTCATAACAAATAATTGGTCCAAACACTATTTTAGACATTATTTGTACATGGCACTTAATTTTTTAAGGGTGAGAAAAGAAAATTAAAAAGTTATGTAAACTAATATGGTGTATACGAGGTTCATTAAAGATGATTATATTAGAAAAAAATGTATTTTCAGAGTGTTGGTATTGCTGTGGAGTTCTGTGGTCACATTGTCCACTATTTTGAACATTCTTCAAAGCAAAATGCTTTAGAGCGAGCATCTGATTCTTTAGCAAATATGGGTATTTCGGTAAGTTGTCTACTATATACGTATTACGTAAATGATTTATTTGTGTCATTTTTTTGTTTCATTGGGTATTTTGCAATTTCAAAATAAACAATTAGATAAATAAAAATCACGTCATTCTTAACCTTAATAGACACGTCGATGCAAAAATGTGAAATGAGAATTTGGATGCACATCATCGAATTTACCAGTTGGGTTAGCTTTAATTTCCTAAAGGCTTGGTCAAACATAGTCCAGGCAAGTTAGACCAAAATCACCCAGAATACGGAAATTTTTTTCTGATCGAGTTGCGGTTTTCGGCATTGTCTTCGGAAAAATATCAGGAAAAAAGTCTATGTATTACACTTTGGGGCTGGATCGAAACTGCATTGCGGGTGGATAAAGTGCATCTTGGAGTGCATCAATTTTTCCGAATTTTCAAAAAATGGTAAAAATTGAATAAGAGTTGTAGAAATTTGTGTGCACGAGTTTTCGAAGTCGGAGATTCCGAATCTGACCCTGAAAAATATGCCCAACGGCCCTAGAGCCCCCCAGGGGGGCAAGCGGGGAGCCTTCTGTAAAACATCGAATAGCTGAGTAATTGCCTTCTAAATCCCCACTCGGGGGTTTTTGGGGTCGGGGATTTCGATTCTGACACAGAAACTTATGTCCGACGACCCCGGGTTTTCGGGGTCGGGGATTCCAAATCTGACACTGGAAAATATCCATTAATCTTAGCTTGTCTATCACTGAGAAACATTGTCTTAGAATTAGAGAAATCCTGGACAAACCGTTCCCAAGAGACACATTTCGATAAATCAAACAAATATTCCTTAAAACCGAAGAATATTTCATGGATCATGGATTTTCAAAATAATCTCTTGGGTCCGTGCGACTGCGGATAATGCATAACAATTAGGCGACAAAATCCGATTACCGACAATGCAGATCTTGTGGGTGCAGGAAGCATGGAATTACATGCACAATTGCATGTACAAATTGTTTTGGAACCAACTGTTCCAATCCTGAAATAGTCGAAAATGTAATAGATGATAGTGATGGAGACAGTGATGGCAGTACTGATGATGAAAATTGTGATTGATAGTGAAAGTGTTAGATAAACATATGATAGTAGTTGTCTCACTAATTGCCTTGCAAATAAAAAGAAAATTGGTTCTCAGAATAAAG